TAGGGGTTGGAAGGGACCTCCAGAGGTCCTACAGTCCAACCCCCCTGCCAGAGCAGGACCATCTAGTCTAGGGCAGGTCACACAGGAACACATCCAGGCGGGTCTGAAAAGTCTCCAAGGAAGGAGACTCCACAACCTCCCTGGGGAGCCTGTTCCAGTGCTCTGGAACCCTTACAGGAAAGAAGTTCTTCCTCATGTTGAGGTGGAGCTCCCTGTGCTCCAGCTTGTAACATAAACAACAGCTGTAGCTGAAGTTGGAGCTGCCTTGTATTTTGGGAGTACCTTGTTTATCCATGGGACATTAATAAAGAGATTGTGGCATTCATAAGGAGCAATGACAACATCCAGTGGCCACACTATGGAAGCACATGTACATTAGTCCACAGGAATACAGCCTTCTACCAGGAAGGCATCAGTCAACACTGCCTATATTATTAATCAAATTAAATGTGAAACCTAATGCTGTTGTTACAGGAATACCCACTTTGGCATCAAACACAAAAAGGAGCAGTTGACATAATGGTGGGGAGCTGATCAGGTCCATAAATTTCTTTGATCTTATCTTGTCTGATTCAAGTTGTAAAGTTCTAAAAAAAATAGGACCAGTGTGCACACCCTGGAGATGGTCCATGGAAGAAGATGCTGTGCCACAAGCATTTCTCCTGGGGAGAGACCGAGGGAAGAGTGGTTTGCAAAATAGCCACCAGGAAGGTGTTGAAATACTTTCATAATTTTTGGCATAATGTGTTCCTGGCTTAAGCCCTGCGGTGACGCTCCCTAATGACTGCTTATGCAACTGTGGCAACCCAGTCCCAGGCCCCGCCGCAGGTCCTGCCTTCCCCCAGCCCCAGGTCCCACACCCTTGGTTGCACCACTGCTGTCGTGGCTGTGGAGGAAGCCATGCCTTCCTGCTTGCTCAGTCACCAGGAACTAATTCTTGTTTTCCAGGGTGAAATTGTTCACAGTGTCCAGGTGTTGACCCCAGTGCCTGCTCACCTGCAGATGCCCTGGCAGGTGTGGAGGTGAGAGATGGGAAACATCCACTGCACGCTCTTCTGAGCGTTGAAAAGGTCAAGTGAGTTCTTGGGCCAGGATGTCTCTACTTAAGCCTGTCAGCTCTGTGAGACTGAAAGTACCTTGGGGAGAGTCCCACATCCCTCAGCCCCTCTGAATCCAGCCCTTGGCCGTTTTTTATCTCCATCTCCCAGCCCTGGTACACCAGCCAGGCTCCTGCTCGCCATCGACAGGGGATGGGGTTGTGGCCAGGCACAGAGCCCGCTGTGCACAGCAGGACATGGGTGTTTTACAAGTCACACTCCTCGGGGTCCTGTTCTGTTGGAGGATCTGGTGCTTTTTTTAACCCATCTCATCTGCTGTAACGTCTAGACTCAAGGGCTGAGACTAGAGCAGGAGGTAACTGGGTCACTTTGGTATCGGCAGGTTGTATCTTAGCTGGCCATCACTTACAGTGCTGTTCTTTGAACGTGACCATGGCCGTTGTCATTCATTTGCTCTGACACAACAGAGGCTTTCTGAGCCCTTGTTTTGCCATGCTTTCCATCACGAGAACGAGAATTTGCTGATAATGCTTAACATTCTCCTGCAGCATCATGGCTCTTTCTGCTTTTGACCAGAGCTGTAAAGAAAGACTGAAACCTCCACAACTGCTCCAGTCAGACAGCAGCCTCGGTGCTGGAGCAAGGAGCACGGCTGATGCCACCCAGGTTATCAACAAAGTGTGTGTGTGAGTTGTCCTCACATCTTGGGTAAGGAGGGACCTAACCCAGATACCAGCTGCTGTGCCAGAGACATGGGCAGCCTCTCCTAGAAGCGCTGCAGGTGACGTTGCTCAGGGGCATGCTGCCATGGCAGGGAAGGACCTGGCTGCTCAGCTGAAGCTGGTAGCCTCCAGTTCTGTGGGCACGTGCACACGTGTGTACACACATACACATGAACCTGTAGTGGAGGGGTGCTGAAATTGGAGGGGGACTGAAAATACAGGCCTTGTTTTAAGGCTTTAGCATGTCAAAGAGGATTCGTTCCCCCTCCTCCGTTAAGTGAAACCTTCCAATCAACAGCAGTTACATCTATATAAGATGCAATGAAGTAATAATGGTGGGGGGTTTCTTCATGTGAAAAAAAACAAACAGCATTTTTTGATACACCCTTTGAATTTATCAAATTGAAAACAAACAAACAAACAACATTGGTTTAGGTGGCTAAAATGAAGAGGGGAGAAAAACCCAACCTAGTCCTAAGAATCAAGTTTGTTTGAGGAAGCAAAGCAGAGAGTCCTTCAAGGGAAACCAAACCTGTACAGACAGGAAAGGCTCACCAGGAAGAACACAGAAACGTGAAGCAGAGCAGCCTGTAGTAGCTGCTGCAGAGAGTAGAAAAGAGGAACTAATGGAAGTTGTGTCGGTTCTGTAGCCAAGTCCATCTGACTGTGCTGCACCCCACAGGTGGGGTGTGGGACACTTCTGGCCTTGCAAGGTTGCCCAGTTCCCCCCTGCAGCCAGAGGGCCCAGGGATCACAGCAACTGGGCACCTCCACATGTGGCCCATCTGTTTGCCACCAGTTAAAAGGCAGAGAAAAAGCAAGCCCCTCTGAGGAAGGACAAGGATGAGGTGAGACTTGGAGGGACACCTGCAAGGTGGGGGTGGGGTATCTCTGGAGGGGCTTGGGCAGGAGGTGAGATCTGCCTGCTGGTTGGGGTGCTGTGGCAGGGGTTTACCTCTGAGAAATCACACACTCAGGGAAGTTTTTTTAAAAGAACTTAAGAAACTGGGAGATAAGAGCTTTGGAGGGGGGGTTGCTGGTGAACATGCAGATGTGAAACTGAGTTGTGTCTGTTAAGGCTTTAAGCATCCAATAAAAAAAAAAGGGGGGGGGGGCACCACTCATCCAGCTGCCTTGATGAGGGACAGAAATTCCTCATTAAATCACTGCATACAAAGCAAGCCCTGTGGGTTGACAGATAAGAATATAGTGTTGTCTACACCACTTTGCTTCCAGAGCATATGGGATTGCTCAAGGTTGTTGAGCTTTGAGACGTTTTTATTTCCCCAAACCACCATGCTGTACATACCTGTCTCTTTTTAGGGATCAACATCCTTCCTCAGCTTTTATACTGGCTTTGAAAGAGACACAGACACACAACCCTGTTACTGTGAGTTAATTCCCCCTGGTGCAGCAGGAGCTCAGCAGGTGACAACCTTCACTCACCATTTCACCTCTTGCAACACCTGGGTGGTCATACCCTGGTGCTGTCCCCTTTCACAGCTACTTCCCATATCCTGATGGCAGAGTTCAGAGCTGCTGCTGTTGGCCTTAATCACGTTGTGGATTTTTGAAGTAGAGAATCTCTAAACCCTAACTGGACTCATCGTGTCTTTGTCCATAAAAATAGGTATGGAAAGTTGAATTCTCTTCACTTCTGCATTGCTTTTCTGAGTGAAGTGCCAGTCTTTGAGGGCAAATCTGTTTGAGAGATGCTTGCCTGAAGCAGCTGCAGAAGAGGTGAGACAAGGTTTATACTTCCATGGCAGCCATGCAAACTCCACACCTCAGCAGTCAAGCTAAAGTGTTTGCTCCTGATGGCAGTCCTGCATGTTCACTTCCTGGTGATTTTGCATCATGGGCCACCAAACACAACACCAATAGGTGTTCCTCTTTTTCTGTGAAGTGTGTAAAGACCTGCCATGGGCTGGGCAGGCACGAGCCCTCCCAGGGCCATGTCTCCCATTCCAGCAGCAAAGCCAAGCACCTCCCAGAGCAGCTGAGTCAGAGACACAGGCTTTTGCTGCCGTTGCTTCATATAGCAACTATGTTTAATTTTGAGAATTAAACACAGTAAAAGCAAAAAACAGGACACCATATTCCTGTGCACCTCTACTGGCAGGTCCAGCCTCACCTTTGGTGGGAGCCTGTGCAGTTCTGTACTTACATACTGGTGACTGCAGGACTCACTCACTCATTCTGCAGTGTAGGGGCCTGTGGTGAGGCCACTTCACAGCCATCTTCACTTCTCTGTCTGCCCAGACCTGCAAGATGCCAAAAACCAGCCAGCTGATCTGATAGTAGTGACCCAGCAGCAGGGATCCCAGCCTGACCAAACCTAACCTTGGTGATGCACAAGCCACCAAGCTCCTACAATACAGGGGGTCCTCACAGCAGCACCATGGTGAAGGGCTGAAGGAGCAGCTACTGCTTCTACTTCTGCCCTTGTCTGTCTCTCAGCACACAGGGGCACAACGCATAGAAAACAAGAGACCAGCTGGACACATAGCCAGCTGGCAGAGGCACTCACAGGCAGCTGCAGCCAGGCCAGAGGCACCTGCGTGTCTCATGATCTCCCCCTGCAGCAACAGAAGGAACTGGCAAGCACCGAGCTATGGGAAGCCACAGGCCCTATCCTCCTGCGTGGCACCAGCTGGCTGGGAGATGGTCACCCCTTCTCTCTGACTCCTTAAGAAGGTACCAGGCAACATCATCTGCTTCCAAAAGAGTAGTGTCCACCACACCGACCAGCCTTCCAGTACCAAGACCAGTCCCAATCCATGGATTGGCATTAGCTTTGCACAAGATGGAGCAGCCCCATCTGCCCTAGCTCCCCTCACTGTCCTGCAGGACAGGCAGCCTTACACAAAAAAAAACCAAACCACCCCACCACAAAACCCAAACATCACCACACTATCAACAGATTAATAACATCAATCTTTATTCCAAACAAGACAGAACTCCTGTAATCCTCCAGGTCAGATTTTCTGGAAGTGGTGAACACCGGACACGCTGACTTACTGCTGAAGCTGTAACAGCCAGGGACAGGATGGTGGCGCTGCTAAAGAGAAGGGCTGCTTCTAAACTAGTAAACTAAGAGTTTAGGTTTAAGAGTTAACTTAGCTTTGTCTTCAGGTGTTCTTGCTTAGCAACAAAAGCAAAAAAATATGCCTGCTTTAGAACAGCAAGTAGGAATAAGGGCAGCCGCCACGCCAGCGGCGCGAGGGTTCAGTAGGGTCTCATGCGGCTGGACGGGGGCGGGGCACGGTTCGGGGGCGTGATGGCGATGTCCAGGTAGTCGCCTATCTGGAACTTCTGCGACTGCAGCGTCATGGAATCGTCCGTGCCCTTCCTGCCCGACATGGTGCTGCCGATCTCCTTCACCCTGCGCGCAGAGAGGAGAGGCGCGTCAGTCAGCGGGGTCCACAACAGGAGCCCCCTCAGGCGGCGGCCTCCCTCCCGCACCACCCCCTGCGCTCCACTCGGCACCTAGCTGGGTACACAGGCTGCTGGGGCTTTTCTCTCTCAAACCAGCACCAGCTGCAACAAATCCTCTCCCTGATGGGGCAGAGGAACCTCCTACCACCTTGTTAAATACTGGAGAACCCCACACCCCTCCCATACAGGCACAGAACAAGACCCCACAGATCTCAGAGCACGATACATCCACTGGTTGCCTACACATCCTGGAAGCCAGATGCCTGCAACAAGATCACCCCTACAACTCAAATACCTTCTCAGACACAACATCTCCCATGCCTCATATTGCTACGAACAAACCTTCACCTCAAAGCAGAGGTGCTGCCCATACAGCCAGCAAAGCCTCCAAGCACACAGATCCATCACTTTGGGACCATATTAGCAACGCTGGTCACCAAGGAATATTCAGAGTTTGCAGAGGTCATAATGGAGTCTCTTATCCGGAAACTCAGAAATCTGGTAAGTGGGCTCTGAACTTTAAGACCAGTGTTGATGACCAGTAGCGTGCTGCTCCAGTGCCTGAAGCCTTCTATTACTGCAGAGAAGAAATGCCATTCACCTATACCCCGGCCTCTTCAGGTCTGTGAAAACAATGGCAAAATTGAAGTGTGTGCCCTTCTTCCGTGCTTCTGGGTAAACTTCTTTCACCAGGCTGGTGAGCTCTTTCAGAGTTGCGTCCATCCTAGATTAAGCAAACAAACCAAAGTGGTTCATGTCCTCAAGAGCAACAACAATAAAAAAAGCTTCCCAAAACCCACTGAAGATGGAATCCAGATACTGCAAGGAAACATTTGGTTACGCTGTAGCTTTTGCATACTTCCTGTCCACACCTGAAGATGAGTAAGGTCATACGTTTTAGCTACACAGCAAGCCTCTGATTTCATGGACTACATGACACTGCCCTCAACACGTTTTGATGTAACAATGGAGTGCCAAGAAGTTCCTCTAGTTACTGATTATAACACCAGGGAGGATCCACCACTCACTGTGTGCTAGGTGCAACACAGTCTCGTGCAGACACAGCTTCTAACTAGCTGCCAATCTGCTGGGACATGAAGACAAATCTCACCTCCACATACGTTTTAACATTTACTTTTCTGGGTCTCTCAGAAGAGTTACTGTTTATAAAGGAAGGCTGGGATCTTTTTTTAATTTGTTAATGTGTTTATTTAATGAACTGTATAAAAATTTCCACACCTAAGTTTACATCCATGTCAAAATAGTTTCTTGACTATAAGAGGAAATATAACAAAAGAAAAAAAGTTTTCTGTTTCCATCAAGATCTCCACTTCTGTCCTAACAGGCAGCACTCCTTTTCCCAGCCTTCAACCAGACCAAGGCTAAAGCTCCTTTCTAGAATTTCGCAAACAAAAGGAGTCAATCCCCACAACTAAAGCAGCTGTAATGACACAGACTGTACACTCACTCCAAGCTTCCAGCAACCAAGGAGCAGTGTGTTGACAGACAATGCCCATTCTGACTTCTGCAGATGGCAGACAACTCAGACACCATCAACAGCCTGGACTGAGTCCATAAATCCCATTAAGAAGTGAATTAGAACTGCATGCTTTGCTAGCCACAAAAATAGGTTTACTCAACCATACAAGTTATAACTCTAGCAGACACCTTGGAGGAAAAGTAAGATTTAAAAAGTTGTGTAGTTCACTTCCAAAAGCAGTCTTCAAAATACTACAAAAAAAAGCTAAGATGTCTTGATCTGCAATGCAGATCACAGCAGTTCTCCAAACTAAAACTCAAAGCAACAAAAGCAGCTGCTACAGCGCGATTACCTGACCGTAGAAGAAGAAACACATTGTCTTGCTCTCAAGAGGCTCTGAATTAACCCCATGCACCACTTACACCGCGGTTCGACCCTTCCAGGGCTACCGGTTCTACTAAACAAACGGGGCTGTTGGAACGAAACAACAGCTTCCCCGCGTCCTGCTCGCAGGCAGGCCTCTCCAACGCCCTCCCGCAGCTAAGAGGAGCGCAAGGTCCCCCGGCCCGGCCCCGCTCGCTCCCGTGCCCGAGGCCCCGCGCACTCACCAGGTGTAGATCTGCAGCTCGCTGGAGGGCACGTTGCCGCGGGAGAACTCGTCCATGCGGTGGTGCCGCCCATTGTTGGTGGTGAAGACGCGGAGCAGCAGCGGACACGTCTGCGAGAGAGGGGGAGCGCGAGGTGAA